TTATATATATATATATATATATGTGTGTGTGTTTTGTTTCACATATATATAAACACATTCACGCGCGCATGTGATTTCCTTATAGCCATTCTAGCAAGCATTTAAAGAAAACAAAAATTGCAAAAATAATAACGTTGCAAGTAAAAATATGAAAAGTATTATTAATAGCTAAAATCTCATAACAAAAAATAAAGTCGAGACTTCAATCCAAAGATTAAATAACAAGTACTTTACTTATTTATTATTAAACTAAACTGTTCAAACTGACTACAATTAAAGAGCAGATAATTGATTCAAGAAACACGAGCTTGCTTATTTGAATAAAAGTAAGCTGTATTTATTGATAATAGTTAGTTGGTAACAGTGGTCGTTGCCTTCTTTGAAGAAGGTAACCAGGTAACTTGTTATTTGATCCACGATCTCTACTGGCCTCTTTAAAATCCAATCTAAAAGAATCGTAAAGGATTGGATACGGCCCTGCAGGACGGGCGGTTCCGTCGGCCAGGTGGTCCAAGCCAAATACCACGATATCGTTCTTCTTGCGGACATTTATGCTCCGCTGTGCTGCCGGACAGGTGTGAATCGTGGTGTCCGTGGCGCAATGTGCGTACCGACGCGACGTGTCGCGCGCGCTCAACGAGAATAACGGACGCGTGCCACGTGCACAAGTCAACGAAGTAAGAGAGGAAGAAGGAGAGAGAGAGAGAGAGAGAGAGAGAGAGAGAGAGAGAGAGAGAGAGAGAGAATATTCGCATACATCACTGTTGGAACAAAAGAATCGCATTCATGCGAATGAGACTTTCTCGATAATTATCATTATTATACTTCGTTGATCTCTTGGGATGGGCGATCATTGTAATTTCGAAAGTGCATAGTCCTTCTCTACTTTTAACACAATTCTTTACGTTTGTAATATAAAGCACGGTGGAATAAATATTTGACAAAACATATTTTTTTATCCCGCAATGTAAATCGTGCTCTAAAGCGTGTAGGTAAATTGTATCAGGATTGCCACAGAAATTAAATTTAAAAATTTAAAAATCCCTGACTTTTCCAGATGAAAATAGAAAATTTTCCGTGAGTAATATAAAATATGTAATTTTTAACATTTAGACTCAAGGATTGTAGAAAAGCGAGTCTATATTATTAAACATAACACAATAAAAGCTTAGTAGCATAGTACAATTTTGAGTGCAAATTCAAACCACAGCATAAAATAAATTAGTTTTGGAAAAAAAGAATGCAGTTATAATGAAAAAGAGGGATAAAAAAAATACTGAATAAAATATAAATTTTAATTATTTTATCAAAATCATTTAAAGTGCGCAAATTTTGAACGTACTTGACTATAAACATCAAATATAATATTTAAAAAATTATAACAATTATTTGGAATAGGAACAGTTTCAAAGAATTGTGAGCAAATTTCGAAATTCCAGACTTTTTTACATTTTCCCCTGATTTTTCCCGATTTCCATAACCAATTTCAATTTCCCTGACTTTTCCCGGTTTTTCCGGTTTTCCAAGCGTTTTTCTGTGGCATTTTAGGTAAAATTACTAGGTAAGATAATCTCTTTTTTTCAATTGTATATTGTATAGTTTAGTTAAATTGAATAATTATCGCTAGTAATCAAGTATATAGAGCTAACGTCATGTTAGTGTATGTATATCAATACCAGTTTTCTACGGTATCTCCATTCAATGTGCTAAAAATAAATAATGGGTTCGCCAAGCTTAGATATTTATTTTTAGATCTCCAGGCAGCGTTCATGGTTACTGAAGTACAATTTCGGTTCAATGCTCAAACGCAGATTTTGTTTCACAATTATGCATTACTTATAAAATTATTCTCACAATTATGCATTACTTATAAAACTATCAGCGACTATTCATTAATGAGGTCTATATATATAATCGGATATACATATATTCAGATTTTTAAAAAATTTTAATACATAAATTTATAAAAAAAGTGTTTTTCTTTGTTAATGTCGAATTTTGGACAAATATAACGACCAGACAAAATGAAAAGTGAACTAGTATTGCTCTTCAAATTTTGCGAAATGAAAATACTGATAAAAATGCTTAAAGCTATATTGATCGCATGTGACAATATGTTTTGGTTGGGGTAAAATGACCCATTTTGATCGCCACTAAATCGATAGCGTTAAAATACATATATATGGAATCAGAGAATATTATTAAATAAGCTAGTATTTACGAATATACAATTTTACATTTATGTATAAAATAATGATCAAAATAATAATTAATTTTCTGGTTTTTTTTTCGATGCGTGATTAATTTTTTTTAGTAAAAATATATTAGAGAATAAATTGGTGAAAATGTCTAAGATATAAAAGAGAATTTTAACACGAATTAAAAAAGGATTTTAATTCGTGTATTCTTGTAAACACAATAATAATAATGATGATAATGATATTAATGATGATAATGTTAATAATAATAATGATAATGATAATAATAATAATAATAATAATAGTAATAACTACTGTGTTCAAAGACACGAAAGACAATAGAAAGAAAAATATTCAAAATACTCATCTCGTTTTATTTCCAGGAAATTTTAATTACAATACGTAAATTTACTACGCGCACGAACCAAAGGGAATTAAAAGTGGCGGTACGTGGGAGGAAAGGGGGGGAGGGAGGAGTATAGGTACTTGCCACAGAGTTAAAAGCACGGCAGATTATGTGCAGCTAACGAATTCATGATGTTATTGTTTTGCTGAGCGTTACATACTTCGTAAAACTTTATAGCCCTAATCTATCTGACAATAAAATGCGGTGTCTCTCAAAAATAGCAAACGTTGTACAGAACAAATATCTAATGATCTAAATGGCATTCGTTTTTAATCACCACGAATTTTCCATGATATTTACGAATAAAGAAGAAAAAGGATTCACGACTATAAACATATAATCTAGATGTAAAGGACGGACATATTCTGAAAAGAAAAGACGAATTCCACAAGCACAAGGCAATCTCGCAGTTGCAAGCGTGCACTACTGTCATGTGTAACTCGGTCGAGAATGAATTTAAATCTAGCTCAACGAAGAGACTGCTTTTCTCTTAGGAGCTAGGTATCTCTCTTAGTTTGACTAAGTTATATCAATAACATGGAGAATGTCGATGTATATATTCTGAAATGAAAAACAAACAGGAAATATACAAGTAAGTAAAATTAAAGAAATTTCTGGGCAAATAAAAAATCGTAATAAAATATTGAGTATTCCTGTGTTAAAATGTTGATGTGTAAAAAACTTATTGCTAGCTAAAATATTTTAATAGATATAATTTAGCAGAATCGATTTCGGTAGTAGAATTTGCAGAAAGTTACAATATATGTTATATATGCGGTATAAATAAAAGTTTTTTTAAGAAAGTATATACATATAAATAAATAGCGATATTATTCTAATTCGCGCATGATACAAAATGCGAAATACGAAATTAATCGTATTAGAAATGATTTTGTCATGCTATGTCACTCGTTTCATTGAACGAGCGAATCTATATTTACTCACGTAATACATCTTGTTTTTGACATCATTAATGTGCAACTATCTCGACCGCAATAAATCAGTTTTTCGTCGCACATCGATGACGTCGCCTCCGAATAACGGATGTACAACTCTCGCGAATGTGAATTTCGATTTACTCTCTTGCGCCATCAATCGTACGAGTTCACCCATGTTCATTAATAAATAAATATTGCGAGTTTTAATTATGAATTACTTCCTTTTTTAGATAGTGTGATATTAGTTGAAATTAGCATTGACTTTGAAAAATGATAGCTGCATTCTACTTTAAAAAACAATCGTTCGCATTTGACATTATGTTATATTGTATCTAGCAGAAATGTAAGATATAATACAACAATGACATAACAATTTTAATTCACTTTTTTATCATATTAATTGTGTTTATGTAACTTTCATATTCGATTCCTATTTATATATCCTAACATATGTGCACTGGGAAAAAAAAAATTAAATTTTGATAAATATTTATTTTAATAATGTCAATTAAACATTTATTCAATAAAAAGAAATAACATTTAAATCAAATTAATGGTTTTTGTAAAACCAAATAAATATATCTTTATATTAAATAAATATTTATAGTTGGCACTATTCAAACAAATGATTTATTAAAATTTAATATATGTTTTTTTTATGTATGTAATGTTATTAATGATCTATTTCATCACGATTATTAATTTTCAATACTGCGCAGATTAGTGCAGATTAATATGATGTAATTTCTTTAAACTTGTCAATCGAAGAAATAAAAAGTTTTATGTATATAAAATTCTTCTCCCCCCCTCCCCCTTTCGTTTCGTTCCTGCTGGATTAAATTTTGAACGGCGTGCCATCGCCTTACCGATCTCCGTGCACCTTCTATACTAAGGAAGGTATAGAAAAGGGAGAAAGAAAATTGCGAAGGTCGTACGCTCACCCTCGAGCAGGTGCCAGTCGTCATCGAGCGAGGCCAATGCCTGTGCCTGATTGGTTTGTTGTTCAAAGTCGAGCATTCCGGTGTCCTTCGCTTTCCTTTTCTCACCTGGTCTCACCGTCGACACACCGATATTATGTCCCCTTTGACTTTCACGGTGTCTCTTGTCCACTGTCTTGTTCACCTTTTGCTCACTCCGATTCAATACTTATTTAATCGTATTCGAGTTCAAACTCGTCGATCGTCACGAATCGTGCGATCGGCCGAAAGTGTTCAAGATCGGTGAAAAGAAAAATTTCACTCTCAATGGATCAAGAATCGCTACTCGCGATGATTTCCCCTAGCGAGATGTTAATACCGAGCGAATGAATCTCTTTTGGCGCGAGGGAGTCGAACTACTACTCGATCGCGTGTTTCCCCTTCTCGCTACCCACTCTTTCTGTCTCTCTTTCTCTCAAAGATGACCTCACTCTCCTTTGTTTACACCAGGTTCTCTTATCGGGGTTCTCAGCTGCTTCCCCACCCTGCGCTATATATCGACATACGGTGAATTTTTTTTCCCCCAAATCGACTCGTGCCCGAAAGGTCAACTCGCGTCGAGGTCCTTGAAGGATTTGTTCGTTTCCGTTTACGCGCTTACAGCGCATTCGCTTAGTGCTGTTCAAGGCAGCATGTGAGAGACGCGATTACGTTTACATATATCCAGAGAAGAGCAAAAAAAAAGGAGAGGGAGAGAGGGGGGGGAGGGAAGAGAAAGAAAGAAAAACAGAGAATATATAATAAGAATTTAGAAGAAAGAGGGACGTAACTATCCACGAGAATTGAATGACAATGAATAAGTGGTGAGAAAGAGAAAGAGAGAAAGAGAGAGAGAGAGAGAGAGAGAGAGAGAGAGAGAAAGAAAGAGAAAGAAATAGGCGGACAGCGCGACGACAAACGTCGCTTACGTGCATTCGCGGCGGTACTCGAACCGCGACTGATTTCCCCTATCACTCCGTACTCAGCTGCCACCCACGGCACCCACGATCCTCCCACCTCCGCGCCACCTGCTCCACCGATGTCGACCTCCCCTCGCCTAGTTCCCGCTCGCGCTGCTACCCACCCGCCACCCATCTTGCTCGAAGCAACGATGAAACGTCTGACCCGTTCTAACCCCCGTCATTCCCGCTTCTCCTCTCCTGCGCGCGCGCGCGCGCGCTTCTACCCTTTCTCGACGCGCTCGGCGCTCTCGCCTCTCTCCATCGCCTATATACCACTTCGGTGGACGAAGTGTGTCTCACCCGTGGCAGTGTATACCGCATCTACTACCGTTTCCCCCCTTCCCCTCCCCTTCTGTTGCCTCCACCATCGCACCACCCTCCCCGTTCACCCCCTCAACGATCCCGGTCGTCTCCTCGTCCTACTAGTTCCTCGAACCTCGAGCATGGTCCACAGCCGTTAATGTAGAGAGAACTCCGCGGAGCACTCGTGAATCCTCTCTTCCACTGTATTTCATGCTATCTTTCTTCCTCAGACATGGGAAAGAGAAAGAGAGAGGGAAAACTTGTTCGCGCCCCAACCTCCTTCGTTTCGCTTCTCTTCGCTTCTCTTCGCTCCTTCGCGCTTTTTCGATCTTTCTCTGCATTGGATTCTCTTTTCGCCCTAGCTTGAACGTAAAACCGACAAGCAGTGAACGCGAGAGCTTATTACACGGTCACCTTATACTGAGAATCACATTTGTCGAATCTATATAAGATGTTGCACGAAATGGAAAGCATTTCTTTTTCATGAATATGAACGGTCAGTGATCTAATTAAATCTCATAAATAAATTAACAGTCTAAAGAGTTCTTTTAAAAATTCATAAAATTCATATATTGTATATAATTATGTATTTTCTATAAATAAAAATTTGCTATCGAAAGAGTTAATGCAGTTGAATATTATATTTATCAAATATATCTATCAAATATATGACATCTTTTAAGGATTATAAGATTAAAATTACAATACATTAATTAATATAATACATTTAATTTTATTATCTTATTATGAAACTATACAATTAGAAACGTCAAAAGTTTATGGATGTTGATATTTAATCAACATTTAGATTTTGCTTTTTATCGTTTTATCTGCGAAATGGTGATGCACAATGAGATAATTTTTAATAATATTAAAATCTATTACTAAAATTTTATATTTTGATGCATTTGCGATCATAATATGAGCATAAAAAATATTTTTTTAAATAATTAAATGTTGCCATTTATATGAATGCGCGGTATCCATTTTGACAATTCTAATCTGAAATGTTTAACCAATTATTTTTCTTTTACATTAATGTATACAATATATTTTTGTTAGTATCATTGTGTGTATCACATAAGTTTTCATGTACATTGTTACATACGTATAGTTTCGTATCCGTGTTTTATTCAAAAGTTGTGGAGCAGTTTAAGCTCCTCGCGGCCAAAACGCGTAACTCCATTTATCGGTAACCCTCGGTTCACCCATGTTACGAAGTGAGCAAGGGCTGTGTCCCTAAAGCGCACAAGGATGGTGCGAGGGTGATGCAAAGGGAGCTAAGCGAGTAAGAGATTGGTCATAGAACGGGAAAGGTTGTGAACAAACTACAGATGCAAGAGAATCTTCTGTACAGCTGCCTCTGTAGGCAGCTCCTTCTCTTGGTTTTAGCGTACTTAAAACATCAGAGAAACTAGAAATATACGATGATGTAAATGAAAGTTTACTTATAAATTGCTTTTTTATCAAGTATATCATAATACTTGATCATATTAGTGATAAAAAATTGCATTTTTTAAAAAAGCATCTACTTAATACCAAAATAAAGAAAAATAAGCCGAGGCATATAAGCGACAGAGTATAAATATTACGGCATATATATTCACAATTTAATTGATTTAAATTAAATTAGAATTTATTTACAAAATTTATTTGCACCAAGAATTCGATATCATATAAAATATTTTCCAGAACGTTTTCACGACACGAGTCTCTTTTCTTTTGTATAATCAATAAAATATCTTAAAATATGCGTCATCCCATGACAGGAGAAACGTCGTATATGTACAAGGCCAGACAGAATATTATTGAAGTTTTCTTTGTGAATATTAATATTTTCGCGTTCTTCATATGTAGATGAATTCTCTCGATACATAAAAAACCATAATTCTTTTAATATTATTCCAACTTTGTAAATACTCATTCAAATTTTGTAGAACTATTTACGACAGTTTTCTTCCTTCTGGCCGTATTGACTTCCGTCTGTTAGACAAAGGAAACAAGAGCTATTAAGTTAAAAGCAAGCATAATTTTTTTGATGAGATGATGCCATTAATATATGTATAATATGCGTAGATAAAGTACATTATTCACAAGGTAAAGCCTCACAATCAATCATTATATCTTTTTTAAATTCATGATGTCATTAGTATAACGAATATGCTTGATCTTTGTATAGATATCTGTCGTTGATAACGCTAGGTTTTTAGAGAGAGCAAAGAAGAAAGAAATGTACTTCGCAATTCAAGGAAAATAAAAAAGTCAAAATAATGTCATATTAACTGAATCATGCTAAAAAAAATGACATAATTTTTGGTCAATAATTAATTAATGACGTCAAATTGGCATTATTTTGACTTTCTTGTTTTCCTTAAATAAGAAGCGTCTGTCTTGAATTTGTCTGGCGCGAAGTCCAGCCAGAGCATTCGCGCGACTAACAATAAGCCGGCGGCTTAGCTTTCAAGTTCGCAGGACGTACCGACATACGTCGCGTGCTCGAGTACGATACGGCCCTGACGGCTCGCGCGTGTCGTCATTTGGCCTCATGCTCTCGCCCCCACGCATCTCTCGCCGAGCACACTATCCTCTCATCGCCGTTCTACGCCCCGCGAACGACTCTACGCCGCTGTCGTCCCGCCCCGACCGGTTCGTCGCTTCCGTCTTTGTTCGTCCGTCTCATCGTCGCGTGGCACTCTCTCCCTTCCTTCTGTTTCATTCGCCATTACGTCTCTCTTTTTCTCTCTTCCTCCTTTCTCTTCTTCCCACCCAGGGGGCGCTCTCTCTCTCTCTCTCTCTCTCTCTCTCTCTCTCTCTCTCTTAATGTATATTTCTTTTTCTCTCTTTTTGTTTCATCTCCGAAACTCCAGTTCTACATATACACACTTTTTTCATACATGGCGCGAACTTTCGACCGATGCATGAGCACGCATGGAGAGATTCACGCAATCACAATCGCTAAATAGATATCGGATAGAGTTCATGAATATATATATCTACTGTAGACAACGATGGAATATATGAAAAGAAGCATGATTAAGACTGATTTGTTCGCAATTCATTTACGATCAATTTGGTTTACAAAGTAAATGACTCTGCACAATCAAATACCATGTTATACACTTATTATCACTGGTTGCGCGACGATAACGATTCTTGAACCGATGCGATGTGTGAGTGAACTAAACAAAACGAGTACCGACAACAGTAACCGTAATAGTTCTGATTTGATAGACAATCTGATATCAACAAAAAAGATCTTCTCTCTGTAAACACATAAATGATCCTCGGACAATATGGTCTTTTCTCTCTCCTTATTCTACATTCTACCACATTGTCAGTATCCATAACAGTGGTAAGGGTAAGTCTGTTTTCCCCACTTCGTTGCTTCCACTTCGGTTAGCCTCGAGGACCAGCGGCAAGGCTTCTTCTATGTTTATCTCCGTCGATCTGTCTCCTGCTCTATATTCTCTCTCTCTCTCTCTCTCTCTCTCTCTCTCTCTCTCTCTCTCTCTCTCTCTCTC